CGGCTCAGGCCTGGCTCCCTCCTTGGCTTCTGAAGCGGCCCTTGGAGGTTCCTGAATCCCCGAGCTGCCCTTCACGTGCGTCTTGTGATATTTTGAAAGACTCCGCAGGCTGCCGTCGGGGAAACGTGTCCCTCCCAGCCCCCGCCGTAGAAAAGCCTTTCGGCCACCAGGGACCCGGGCGCGGGGGCTGCGAGCGGGAACGCGGCGCCGGCGTCCCACACGGTGCTGCCCGAGCCTCAGCCGGTCGCCTCGCCACTCGCTCCAGGCTCCCTCTACGAAGCGGCCCTGATGGGCGACCACACCTGGGGGCCTTTCCCGTCGAAGATCCGCACGCGGTCCGGGCGCTCCCGCCTCACCGTGTGGTCGCCTCCCCGGGAAGCGCAGTCGGGTCTCTCCGACCGCTCGTGGCGGGGAGCGGGCGACGGCACGAGCAGGTGAAGCGGGCCTGAGAGCCGAGTCACGGGGACGCGGGCTGCCCCAGGCGCCCGGGTGCCAGACGGGGCCACACAGACAAGGTCACAAGACAAGACGTCTGTGCGGGACGTGCTCATAAACCCCCGCGGGACGGCGGAGTGGGGGGTGGGATCAAAAAGCAGCTACACGCGTATTTACTTTGGCCCGAGGGCAAGAAATTTATCATGAGGATGAAAATCAAAGAAAGCAGAAAGCTCGTGTTCTGTTCGCAGGGTTTAGAAAACACACGAAGCACAGTGATTGTGACCGCTAACGTATCTCGTGGGGACCGTCTCCCCCCCAAGTCTCTACTAATACTTGCTCCTGACATGATCAGAACTGAGTTCACGGAACCGGTGCGGACCGTGGCCACCTGCCTGCGCTGTTCTCTGTCCGCCGTTTGGCCGCAGACTTACATCGCTGCCCTCTCACCCCGTCCCTTTCCCTTTAGAGCTGAAAACGCAGAGTGGCAATTTTACCTTTTGTTAATTCAAAGATTCCAAGAGGGTGGGGGATAGTTCTGCTTTAATCAGCTCATGTAAATAAGACAAAGTAAATATGGAATCCTAAGTTTCATGGGCCTATATATTTTTTAAAGAAACTTTATTATTTTAAGTATAGAATTGGTAAGACAAATCAAGGGTCCTACAAAAATTATTTTAAAATGATTACCAGGGCCTGCCCGGTGGCGCACTTTCGCTTGGGAGCGCTGCAGCGCTCCCGCCGAGGGTTCGGATCCCATGTGGAGACCGGTTCCAGCTCACTGGCTGAGCGCGGTGTGGGCGCAACACCGAGGGTTGCAATCCCGTTGCCGGTCCCCGGTACGGGCGCGACACAGAGGGTTGCGATCCCATTACCGGTCAGTAAAAAAAAGACAAAAAGGAAAAAAAAATGATTACCAATGAGGTGAGGAGGAAAACATCTCCTTAGAATTAGGTTCTGATTCAGGGAGGGAGAGGCGATGGCTCATTCACCTGCCACCTCCAAGTTGTGCAAGCCCACACCCCGGGGACGGGGACGGCGGTGGCAGCAGCAACGTGCTCGGGAGGGGCAGCAATGGAAGACTTTGCCAAAGGACTGTCCCGACCATGAGAAATCCTCCTGAAGCTTAGTCTGCACTTTCTAACCAATAAGATAAAAACAATTGCCATTTGATCTAGGAAAAATCCACTGGTAGCAAAACAGGAATGGTTTCCAGAAGATTTTACAGTTCCCAGATCAGAAGAACATTACACATCCTAAAAAACTACTGGACTCTCCATCACTAATAGTAGGAGTACCCCCTACATGAAACATTATTATTGAAATATAACATAATGTAGAAAAGCAAAGAAATCAAATATACAATGTAATAATCAAGAAAGTTTATCGGCACACCAGAAGTCCCCATGCCCATAGTCAATTCTCTTTTAAAAACATTCCTTTGATTGGGCCGACCCCGTGGCACACTCGGGAGAGTGCAGTGCTCCCGCTGCAGGTTCGGATCCTATATAGGGATGACCGGTGCGCTCACTGGCTGAGCACAGTGCAGGCGACGCCAAGCCAAGGGTTGCGATCCCCTTACTAGTCACAAAAAAGGGCAACAACAACAACAAAAAATACCATTCCATTGATAACTTATTTTAATTTCTTTATTTTATTGTTTATTTTTTATTGGTTATGAATATTCATGGATTGCAGAGCAAATTGTCACCACTTGTGCCTAAGATGTGATGGCCAGATCCATACTGTCAGCATGCATATTACCACAAATTGTGATTATACCTCCTGTCCCTCATCTAATTAACCCCCAATTATCCCCGACCTCCTTCCCCATCCCCCTTTCCCCACTCCACCATGTATCCCTACGTGTGTTCTCTCCCTCTGCAAGTCCAATGCACCACTGTGGTCTTTCTTTCCTTCTTTCTTAGCTCCCACTTCTGAGTGAGCACATGCGGTATTTATCCCTCTGTGCTTTGCTTATTTCACTCAACATGTTTCTACAAGCTCATCCATGTAGTTGCAAATGGGAGAATTTCATTCATTTTTATGGCAGAGTAGTATTCCATGGTGTATATGTATACCACATTTTCCTTATCCAATCATCCATTGATGGACATTTAGGTTGGTTCCATATCTTGGCTATTGTGAACAGAGCTGTGATGAACACGGGAGTGCAGGTGTCCCTTTGACATGATGATTTCCATTCCTTTGGGTATATACCCAGAAGTGGGATTGCTGGATCATATGGAAGATCTATCTGTAGTTGTTTGAGAAAACTCCATACTGTTTATTGAAATATAACATAGTGTAGAAAAGCAAAGAAATCAAATATACAACATAATCAAGAAACTTTATCTGCACACCAGAAGCCCCTGTGCCCATATGTAACATAATAGTTTAGTTTGAGTCAATTCTCTTTTAAAAACTTTCCACTGATAATTTATTTTAATTTCTTTAAAAAGAAAATAACTCAAATACCAACAGGAAGACACTAAATAAAAAGAAATGTTAAAAGCATAAGATTCATGCCTGTATCAATTTAATCCAATCCAATTCCATTCAATTTATTTCCATATCAACAGCAATTTTTCAAAATGCCCACTGAACATCCTTTGCCAGGACAATGTTCTGGAGTGAAATGTCTTTGGCTCTAGTATTCTTGTCTGTCTTACACATCGTTAGCAAATTTGATCACCACTAATAAAACAGGGTACAGAGCACTCTCATTTACCTACTTAAGCCTTTCATCTATTCACGCTGGATCTGGGGTTCCTTTGATCCTACTCAGGGGGGTTCTCGTGTGTCTCTCCCACATATGGAAGAGCTCAATTTAGAGGACAGCTGGGAGGAAAGGCGGTGCTGACGAGGCCCCAGCTGGCCATCGTGGCCACTTCTTTCAGTAAGAGGTTCCAAATGTGATGAAAGTCCTCCTGTTCCCCACAAAGAAAGCTCTTCTGATAAACCAGGAGTGCTCTGCAGCGTTCCTTCTGCCAGGCCACTAAACTCAGCTGTTCTGCCTGGACGCCCTGTGTCAGTTCTTGAGCTTTAAGCTCCTTTCCATTTGCTTATGTGTTTACTTATTGTCTTTGTTCCAGTTGCTATAACAAAATAACATAGACTGAGTGCCTTATAAACAACAGAATTCGATTTCCCACCGTGCTGGAGGCTAAGAACAAGATCCAGGTGTTGGCAGATTTGGTGTCTGGTGAGGGCCCTCTTTCTGCTTCACGGGTGGCATCTTTTCACTATGTCTTCATATGGCAGAAGGGTGAGGGGGTTCTCTGGGGTTTCTTTCACAAGAGCACTAATCTTATTCATGAGATCTCTGTTCTCAAGACCTAATAACCTTCCAAAGGCCTCACCTCCAAATACCATCACACTGGAGACTAGGATTTAACATATGAGTTGAGGGGGCAAACGCATCTGGTCTACAGCACTTATAAAATGCAAACTATATGTGAGGCACTGTGAAAAAGTCCTTCTTTTCCTAGTCACTTAAATTTGTCATTATCCTCAAGTGCATGGCCTTCTTTTGTAGTCTGTGCTAAAGTCCACTTCTTTATTGTGGTGTTTATCAAACCTAGTCTGAAAATCCCAAGGTTCTTGTTAATGTAGATTCCTGGGTCACACCACCCAGAATTCTGATCTATTAGGTCTTGAGTGGGGCCCGAGAGTCTGAAAAAGAGATTTCTGGGGGATGCCAATATAAGTATTCCTCTGAGCACTTTTTTTTTTTTTTTTTTTTTTGTCCTTTTTGTGACCGGCCGCACTGCGCTCAGC